GTGAGTCCGGGCGCCGCGGCCTTTCCAGCTCCTCTTCGCGCTCGGGCTGGGCCGCGCCCGGGGCCTCGTGCGCGGGTCCCTCGGGCTCAGTGCTGGGGCGGCGATGCTGCCTCCTCGCCGGGATGTGTGCGGGGCTGGGCTGCGGGAGGGCCGGCGGGGATGAGGCCTGCGCGGCAGCTCCACGTGTCCCGCTCCGGGGCCCTGCGGAGCCGGGGAAATGTTTGGCCCCTTCTGGGTCGGAGCTCTGCCTAGGAAACGGTCGTCTCTGTCATCTCCAGGCCGTAAGGGCCTGGCTCACCGTTGCCAGTGTTGGAGAGCCACGTTCTGAGCTGGTGCTGCGGAGATGAAGTTCCTGCTGCAGGGATTCAGTGGCTCGAATAATTCTAGGTAGCAGGGTCTTGTGAGGAAACAAGCAACAAAAGTACCTTGTGGCAGAACGGAGAGAGTGTCTTTACCTCATTTACAACCAAGTGTTGTAACTGTCTAATGTTTATAGCCATAAACTAAATACAATATTGTTAAGATAGTACCTTGATATTTTTAGTGAATACCTGGAAATGAAAAGGGTGGCACTGTTTAGTATAAGATGTTAATCTTGGATATTAGGCTAAGATTTTTAGATTGTTACATAGACATTGATTTCACTAGTGTAAAACTGATGTGCTGCACTAATACATTTTGGTTTTTTAGAAAACAGCAACTGCTGTTGCCCACTGCAAGAGAGGAAATGGCCTTATTAAAGTAAATGGAAGACCTCTGGAAATGATTGAGCCCAGAACTCTGCAGTATAAAGTAAGCATCCACCCAGCTTCCCACCACCTTTGGATATTAAAATGCTATTATACACATAATTGCTTGGTGGCAGAGAATAATTGCTTGCCTTATTGACAGTTCTAAATTTTTGGTTGTGTTTTATCTGAGCACACTGTCTTACTGGGAGGAGTGGGGTTTTTGGCTTAGTTGGATTAATGTGCGTTAATATAATGTGAAGTATTTTCAGCATATCACATCCATTTTTTAAGTTTAAATGGGTGACTTAAACCCTGCTTTTTAAAGATTCTTTAGGAGTTGTTAAGATAGCTGTTTGAACACTGCTAAGAGAATCTAAAACCTGAATAAAGTGTAAAATAGTGGAGAAAACCACCCACAAATTACTTTAGATCTTCAATTTTAGAAACTTGCTTTAGTTTTCTCCAGTGCTGATGTAACTAGGCTACTTGCTTAAACTATTCCCTTGCTGTTAATTCCTGTGTTCATGTGCATTGCTGTTAAGATTTTTTAAAAAGACTTCAGCAAATTTATTTTACAACAGCACTGGTAGATGTCATGGAACTCTGCAAGAGGTTTACTTAACTTGGGTGTGTGCTTATATAATCACATCTCCGTATTTTAGAACATTCAATAGCTTCACATTTGGTAAACCTACTACAACTCTGATCTTTGTTTTTTCTGGCCACAAATGAATTTTCTTCCTGTGTTTTGTTTCCCAGCTGCTTGAACCTGTCCTCCTCCTGGGGAAGGAACGATTTGCTGGTGTTGACATCAGAGTCCGTGTGAAGGGTGGTGGCCACGTAGCACAAATCTATGGTATGATTTTTGGTGGAACCTCTGGTGTGGGCTGGAACAGGTCAAGCCACATATTTAAGAGGCTTGAGTTTAGAATACTAACTTGTGCATCTTGCTGTTCTGTTTCTTTTTGCACTGCACAAATGTAGTTTTTCGCAAGGTCTTGCTGGTTGTATTTTATGTGCAAAGTGTAACATGTAAGGTGCATGAAGTAAATGGATGGAATTTTGCGGAAATACGAGGAAACCATGTCTTGCAGGATGACAGGACAGTTCAAGTGCAGCTGAGCACAGAGATTTTTGGGAGGGAAGAATGGAACTTGTGATTAGATTTTTGTGTTGTTCACGAGGCATCTTCCAGTTGACCTGCAGAGCTGGGCTGTTATTTCCCCTTGCAGAGAGGATGGAGAACATACTTGTGTTAGCTGTTTATTTATAGAGTTGCTCTTTAGAAATGATGGATTTTTCTGCTGTTTCAGTTTGGTTGTAGTTCAGTGAAAAGGAGCTGGAGCTGCATAAAGAGCAGAGACATTTCAGTCTCAAAGCTGAGTACATTTGCTTTTGAGAAAACTCAGATTTTCATAAAAATCCTGATCTTAATGTTCTGACAGATAGAAGCCTAACAAACTCTGTACCGTTACTCCCATACTCATGGTTTGAGTTTTGATTACTGTGTTACTATGCTGCAGGCTGGTTTTTCACACAGTCCTGTTGCCTCCTTAGTGTCTGTACACATTGATCAATTTTATCTTTGTTAAGCATAGGGATTTGAGAGAATGGTGCTCTTAAGGATTCTGAAAATTGGCTGTGTGTAGGTAGAAGAGGAACTGATGTTAGTACTCAGAAAATATGGTGATTAGGACTCTTCCTGTACAATTCCTCGTCTAGCTGGCAGCCATCAAATCAACACATGGAACAGTGGGTGGCCTCTTGGCACAGATTTCTTCAGATTTGCCAAGGTCATGTGGCATGTGTGGGAGAAGAGGTTAAGAGAGAGGACAATTTGACAGAAAACAGGACAGCAAGTCTCTTAGATAACTTGACACTTTGTTTAAGTTTGAAATAAGTTTGTGATCCTTACTGATTCATTACCTTTTTTTAACAGCTATCCGTCAAGCTATTTCCAAAGCACTGGTGGCTTACTATCAAAAATGTAAGTTGTTTTGCTTGTTGTATTAGCCTGAAGTGGCACCGTATGGCAGCTGGTATTTTCCATGCAAAAAATATTAATGTGTGTTGGTTCACAAAACTTCTTAAATAGAAGAATTTTATTATTTTTTAATTATTATTTTTATTTTTTAACAGATGTTGATGAAGCCTCCAAGAAAGAGATCAAGGATATTCTGATCCAATACGATAGGACTCTGCTGGTTGCAGATCCCCGCCGTTGTGAATCCAAGAAGTTTGGAGGACCTGGTGCTCGTGCGCGCTACCAGAAGTCTTACCGTTAAAATTGTTCTACAGTTATGTGGCAATAAACGTAAAGAGAATTTGATACATTTCCTGGTTTTCTGTGTGCATGAACTCATTTTTCACTGTGTTAGAAGATTGTTTAGTGAGTTGATCAATATTAAAGTAAGCTCAGAGGGCTGTTTGCAGTTTGCTTTTATGCCTTGCTGGTAAGTCAGTCTCAATAGGCAGTTTTGGGAGTCTGTCCTCTCAGGGACAGGAGTTGGACTTGATCCTGGTGGGTCCCTTCCAACTCAGCATATTCTGTGATTCTATGATTCTGTTGATGAATGGGTGGTTAGGTGTAGATGTGGTGCTTAGCGACAGTTTAGCACTGGACTTGGTAGAGTTAGGTTAATGGTTGGACCTGATGATCTTTAAGGTCTTTTCCAAGCTGAACAATCCTGTGGTCCTGTTACCAGAACATACAGAAGGCTTACAGCCTGTATTTTGTGGTACATGTAGCAGTGTAGCAGTTCCTTAAAGCAGAGTTCAATCTTTGCTTTTTTTGGTAAATCTAAACAAATAGGGACCTTTTCCAGTGCCTGGCTGGCTACCCTTCCTGATGTTAGGAGCACACATGAGTATTCCATGTGAAAGTGTCCATCTGCCTGCTTACAGAGTCAAAGTCCATCAGGAGTACAACTGTGAATCTGACCCCTGGTTGGTAACTTGTATTGGGTACCTTGCTCTGGCATGCAGCCCTGGTGCAGGGCAGCACACAGCAGCTCTGCATGCACCTCTGCGCTGGCCGTTCGTTTGCTTCCAAAGGACTTCTGTTTTCCTTGTGTCTTCCCCTGAAACACTACACAGAGTCAAGTTCCAAACACTGCTGTAGAATATGCTATGGCAATGAGTATTGTCTGCCTGCATGAGCTGCTTCTTTTGGTACTTCCTCAGTGGTTAGTGGCAAGGAACCCCTTGAGGGTAACTGTCAGCACAGTGATGTAGTGGGTATTCAGGCAGCTGTGCTAATGTTTGTATTTAAAGTTCACTGTCAAAACCAAAGTAATTCTGGGAGTAAGGGAGGGAGGTCTGTTGAACTCTTACCATACCAGATAATACAAAGTTCTGGACATGTTAATTGTAGGAAACCTTTTTTTCAATAACAAACTATATTGCATTATTTCAATATAATATGTTGTAAATATAAAACAAAAATGATTTTGGATTACAAGTACAGTTTGTACACTAGCTAGAATGTGTGTGTATTAAATATTAAAAGATACTGGAGAAGTTCCATCCATTGGAATTAGAGATGATCTGCTTGGGACAAAAGAGTAAAGTTCCGAGTAAGATGTGGGATGTACCGACAAAAGAAAGGCTAATTCCAATAGTGCTGGAAAATCTAATTTCTGTCTCTTGGAAGAGTTACAAGTAGTTGATTGAGGCCTTGGATGTAAGCTGACCCAACAGGCATGGGCACAGCCCTGGAATTTTGTTTGCAATGTTTTAAAGCCAGTTTGGAGAGTGACTGGAAGAAACAGACTAAGCAACTGAAAGCCTGGCTTCTGCTGGGTTGCTCTCTAAGCCTGGTATTTTTGTGTCAAACTGACTGGCCAATACTGTGAGTGTATCAAGGTGCACCTTGATAATTGAGATTTTTGTTGGTCTTTCCATTAATATGGTATTCTCTCAGTTCTTTAATGATAGGTCATTTCAGTGCACTCGTTCAACAAAAAGTTAAACCAGCTTCCTTGGGGGAATTGGAAAGGATAGTACAATTTTGCCTGTTTCCTCTGGCTTAGGAAAAATGGTGCTTGTGATTTTTTTATAAGTGTTAATATTTGTTAAGATGTCTTTTTGCTTTTTCTGTAGAAAGGCATTTAAGGCATCCTCACTGAAGTGTAGTAATTCACAAATTGATTCTGTAACTTGAACAAATTCTTTCTGGAAAGGAATTCTCCATCCATCTTCCATTTTAGCATCTACCTCAAAATTCTGCATTACATGACCTGAATAGAAGTATAACACTTATCCAGACCCCTCACACTCCCATTGGAGGGGACTGTTGTATATTGTATCAACAATTCATATGCCAGGTTTTTTTGACTTACACTGAGTGAATGAGATGCTCAATTCGAGACACTTGTTCTCTTTTTTGGAAAGATGCATAGTTTGCAACCCCCTGTTCCCCTTTTCTGCAATCTCAGATTTGCTCCATTTCTGGTCTTCTGAGTTATTCATAGTTTCTACCCTGTAGCAGAGTTGTTCACAAATTATTCTAGCTCTTGGGCTGCCAAAAACTGCTATGTTCTTGCATTCTAGCCTGGCTTTCTAAGGAAAAGATGCTATGTAGGGTTAACTTCAAACGTGATTGCTTGAATTTCAATGAGTTTTGTGAAAACTGGCATCTTGGTAGATGTTAATTAGCTTCAGCTGAGGAAAAATAAGCATTTTAGTTGTTTGGCTCATATGGTGACTGAAAGCAATGGCTCAGTCATTGCTCAGGAAATGTGGACTGGCCTGCCAGTTGGCACACACATATCCTGTGCCGTGGTGTGTCCAAAACTGATCCTTGCATAGCTGGTTGAATGCAGGGAAAAACAGAAGACACAAAGTTACTGTGGTGTTAAACTCAGGGAGGCAGGGGGAGAGGCAATATCTGATGCCAGCAACCTTAAGGGTGGATTTCACAGTTACTCGGAAACCCGATGTATCAGTTTTTCTGCCCAGAGAACGGCTTGTAACAATTGGGGAGTTTTGGTTTGCTGTTCTTTTATGGAAAGGCTGAAAATAAATGTCACATTGCTACCAATATATCCAGAGATCATATCTGCGTGTCATTTCTTCAACCAGAAGGCTCTTGGTATAATAAAAATGCTTTCTGAGCTGAACTCTGATCCTATAAAAATGCCCCATTAATCCTGTAGAGTAATGTCATCCCCACAGACTTGATTTCTAAATGAGAAATGTTCATGGAATCACGCTGGTGTCTGCCTGGGTGGCTGAAGATTTTTCTTCTGAGTGGTTACTTACTCATCACCCACTAGAGGGCTTAACTTCACTGGGGAAATGTAACTAACGTGAAGTTTGAAGGTGTACAGGGAAAACCTGTTCAGAAAAATGTTTCCTTTCCTAATGCCCTGCTTCTGCAGGGATGTCAGTCAAGCCTGTGTCATTGGCCATCTGCTCTGGTCAGAGACACTCTTCTACATAGATATAGGAACAAATTGATCTTCATGCCTCTAGTGAGGTTCTTGAGCAGCTGTGGAGGTGATTCTTGGAAAAGAAGAAATGCCACTAACCTCATATTGCCCAGCTCTTTCAGTAATCTCACTGGTGCTAATCCTTAGGAAGACCAGACGTGCACATTAAAATGTGGCCTCATGTGAATTTGTCATTGAAAATACCAGTTTAATGAAGACTGGAGTGTGAGCTCTAAAAAGTACCATGTTTTGTTAACAGTGACAATGGATCCAGTTCCAAACCAGGGCGAGCTTGTACCCGTGGTGCTGAAGGTGGTTATTTTCTTACCCATTGTTTATAATCCTGATAAACTGCCTAACCTGTATATAAAATAAAGTCCTCTCAAATGTTATGCTGAAAAATTTTGGGCAAAAAAATGTTGACTGTAATATAAAAATATATTAACATTGAAAAGTCAATTAACATTGACTTTTTTCTTTTAAGAAAAATCTGTAGCTTAAAAATGTAACATCACATTTTTTTAAAAGTATGGACCAGTGTGTCCTGTATTGTGTTTGTTTTCTTACAAAACTGATCATATTGTAGTGCATGTTTGCAGTCTGTGAGTATTCTACTACTTGTGTAGGTAATGTGTGTCACTGCCTTGATATAATTTGATTAATTTTTTTTTTTTTAAAATCTATTTCTTAATATAGTCCTCTGAGTTACAGTTCAGTGTGCTCGGCCGAATAATTCTTTTTCCTTATTAGCTAACATCCTTCATGTCCTTGAGACTGTGCTGTTTCCTAGCCTGCCCTGAGCAGAGATATCCAGATCTAACGAAGCCTATTGCTCTGACACAAATTTCCTTTGCAGCTGATGAGGGGTGGCTTACTTTTTAAATACTAGAATTTAGACAACTGTGAAATATTAACGTGCACCAAATATTCCCTCAATTTTGCTATAGAAAAATTGTAAAAACAAACAAAAAATAGAAAAAAAAAAGGCTGCTTTTGATAGTTTCTGTAAAAAAAAATAGTTCATTAATATAAATGGAAATATTTTTTTGTGAAGCTGCTTATGAATCATGGTGTGAAATATGGTCTTGAGGAACTGAGGAATCCCAGATCAGACTCCCCAGAAGAGTTTGAAACAGTTCCTAAACCAGCCTTAGCTTGAAAGTAAGATAACATGGAGTCTGGTAATGGAAAGTTGAAGCTCTAATGCTTGGGTGCATCTAAGCTTGACAGCAACCTAAGCAGTGTCCTCTAAGAGTAGGTTTAAGAAAAGATAACATGTTGAGTAGCCTCTGCCACTTATTGTAAGATAGATGCCCACATAATAGTTCACAGTCTGTGAGTCTGAGTACCTTGGTGTGTTAATTCAGATCAAGAGCTCACTTCTTGTGCAGCTTTTTACAGTTTGGAGGTTTTTGGACCACGTGGAGCAGATGAAACTAAGCTGGGAAATGGAGCCCAGCTGCAGATGAACAACCAGTCCATGGGACCAGCCCATAGGTAGTGAGAGGTAAAAAGAAAGCAAAAAATCTCTTGAAATGAATGTCAGCTTCTGAGATCCAACAGCAATAAAAATTGTTCTTAAGAAATACTTTAAACACAATGTGGTTTTATAACATATGTAAGTTTGCAATAAGTATCTTCAGGTCACCAGTGATCCCAAACCTGCACAAGCACTGTGCGAACCAGGGTTTTGTCTTTGTCTGTGGTTGGAGAGGTTGAGTGTTTTCCTTTACCTTATTTTCCAGTCTGGCTGGGGAGAAGGGAAAAGAAAGGGCTAGAAGAAATGTTGGTAGAACTTTTTACCTGAGGGAAACCATCCATTTCTACATTTTATTTTGGCCCAAACCCACTTTCTGTAGCATGCTCAGAGGTTGTCACAAAGAACAGCCTACAAAGATCGGAGGGTTAAGCGAAAGAGGCTTCACATAATAAAATTAGTAGTAGCAGTTTCAATTAGCATTATTTGTGTCTTTAAAGCTGCACTTTTTAATGACTCTGTAACTGTTAGGCTAAAGCAGGTAATTTATTTCTGTTTTAAAATATGATAATTTTTTTATTTTGGTGAAATTATATATTTATATTTTATTGAAAATTAGAAACAAAACCCGTTGGTCCCGTTGACTTCATTCTCCTTTTTGTTAAGATGAAAATTTAATGTTTTATTAAAAATGAAATGTAATTAACCTGTTGGAAGTTTTCTTTTGTGACATAAACAAACTATACACAAAAATGTATCTATGACTCTCTTAAAAATCCAGGTGTATTATTTAATGGAAGTTCATGTCTCTCCTTTAATCTCTAAAACTTCCTGTTTATAATATATACAGTAGCATCCCTGCTGGGTCTTGCAAAAATATTTCACTGTATTAAAGGGCAGCACTCAGCACAAGCTTCAAAGCACACAAAGGTGTGTGACGACTGAAGGAACTCTCAAGCCTTCATGACAGGGCAACATTTCTATGTCATTGTCTGCTATGTTATAAAGGGCCGATTCAATTCAACAGGGGAGTAATTCTTGCAGGTCTAGAGAAAGTGTAACTAATACAGACTCTGCTGAGGAGTTACCATGCATTGCTAATGAGAGACATGCAGCCAGAAAGTTGTACACAACTCTTGCAACGCTCCTGAAGCTGTATGTAGCTACCAAGCTTCATGTCTCCTTTTCTTTTCCTTTGTTCCATGGCATTATTTCAAATAATGCACCTGACTATCTAACTTGAGGATTGAAATGCCCTGTAGAGATACAGAGTTCTAAGATGCCATCGTAATCAAAGCCGTTAATTTGGATACATTTCCTATCACTAAGTTATACTGAAATGAACATTGTGGGAAAGCTCAGTTTAATGATACTGTGGAGTATATTCTTGCTTCATTCACTGCTGTCCTCTTTGCAAGGTAAGAACTCTATTTCATCATTGTAGTAGTAATACTAAATTGTAAAAATTATTTTCTAAATATTTTAATATTGCAGCTCCTTCTTTATCTATTTCTAGATAAAACCTTTTTTTGACCCTTGCTGGAATTAATAAATAAAAAACTTTTTAAACACAGATTAAAAAACTGTATATAACCTTTTCCTCTCACAGGTGTAGATGCTAAAATCATAGAATCATAGAACTATTTAGGTTGGAAAAAACCCTTCGGATCACGGAGTCCAACCGTCATCCCTACTCTACAAAGTTCTCCCCTAGCTCTTTAAAAAGTAAATAAATTTCTGTAGATTTGCTACAAAACAATTATTTAGGAACAAAACTGAAATTTCTTAGCTTTCTTGCCATTATTTTCAGATGAGTAAGCATCTAATGATTTTCAAAGGTGTATGGTTTCGTTTGAATAGAGTGTACCTGCAGTTTGTTTTAGCATTTTTAGAATGTTAGGCTAAATAAACATTATTTTGTTTATAGAATTGATTCTATTTTCTGTGTAATGCAAGTGGGTCTTGTAGATAGTTTGTTGTGGTGTTTTTTCAGCAATTACAAGGATTCCTAAAGCAGTATGAGAAAGAAGGGGCTTGGTGTTTTTCTTGTTTGTTTGCTTGTTTTTAAAGCACGAACACTAGAGCATTCAAAATGCTTTAAAATTTTGTCCTACAAGTAACATTCTGAAAATTATTATAGGTAATCACCCTGAAAGTTTGATTCCAGAGAGCTCTGAGCACCTCTTTTATTTTATCAGTTTTATTTTGAGCCTCTGAAGAACTATGAACTCTTTGCTCTTTTTCATGATAGCATGTATCAGAACTGAGACAATGGAAACTTGCAGGTGATGAGTACTTGAGAGAAAGAAACTCTCATGAAGGAAAGCATGTGGTGCTACATCCCTTGGAAAAAGAAAAAAAAAGTTTCTGTAAAGATGCTCTGGAAAACTGAGGATCATTAAAAAATAAAATTCAATACTATTGTTTTAAAATTGACAAAATGTTTCTTGCTGAGTGCAGACGAAGACTGTAGAATAAAAGCAACAAACATTTAACTTGATGACTTTTTAATCTACAGGATCTTGTTGCAAGATTTCTTCTTTGAGAAGAACTTCAAGGTAAGTTTTTATTCCTGATTTGTGAAGTCCTACCAACAGAACAAAAATGAGTATTTGTGACGCAGTGCAAGTTAGAAAGTAAAATACAGCCTTGAATTCAACATGTAAGATGTCATGTACATATACATTGGATGTAAAACACACTTTTGGAATGTTTACAACTCTTTCCAAAGAATTTACATAAAGGGCACAGGTCCTCTGTTTGAAAAATAGAGTCCCTTATAAAAAATTATTCTTCCACTGTCTCGAGAAAGCTTAGAGGAATAATGGAATGAAACCAGGATGAGATCATGATTTCATGACTGGAAAAATACATTAAACAAGTATCCTTCTACAGTTTTAATTGCATGATAAAACCCGAACTTCTATTTGGAGCACAGAAAAGTAAGTGCTATACAGCCTTAAAACAAACATTTTCAATACAAGTTTTGATGTAGAAGCTGAAATCCAAACAAAACCCAAACTAGGGAATGTTCCCTATCCCATTGAATTAAATGGGAACTATGCCATCGATTTCAATATGAGCATCCAGTCGGATGTAGCTTCTCATGTTTAATGACCTCTAATACCTCTGGCAAAGAAACATGCACATCAAATGACATGCTGTCTTGGACTGTTGATAAAACTAAGTATGTATTATAGTTTGATGCCCTTGTTTCTAAACTTAATCACAAATTAAAGTAATCTACACCTGGAGAATAATATCTTCCTATCAAAAGTACTGTCACACTATTCAAGTAACTTTTGGGGAAACTTGCAGCCACTTGCACTTAGCATCAAGTAAATACGAAGCTGCTTTTCAATTTTGTATCCTGTCATGTAAGCCTATTTTGCCTATTTGTGTCTGCCCCACAAGCTCCAGGTACCTCCCTGTCCTAGCAGAGATCAGAGTGCTGCCCAATTCTGTAAAATGAGACTACAAGAAGAAAAAAAAAAACACTAAAAAAACCCCTCACCCTTTAAAATGTTAACCCAAGAAAGACCTCTTTGATAAAGTGATTGTAATCAGAGAGAAACACTTCTCCCTGGGGAGCTGCTTATTCAGGTTGCTCCAGGGACCTTTGATAATACAAGATCCTTTTTGTTTTCTTCCAGAAATGAGTTTAATGCAACTCGACAGAAAAGAGATCTCATAGCAGCTGAGGTAGGTTATACCTCCAAAAGCGGCTGGGAGGGGGAACCCTCCCCTCTTTTTCTGCTCTGGGCCTTTGCTGTCCTTACAAAGGAACCTTTGTGGGGAGAAGGGCTGTAACAGGAGGACAGTGAGGAGGAGCAGCCGTTCCCTGTCTGCTCATCCTCTGCAGGAGCCCATGGCCTCTTGCTTTCATTCAGGCAAAGTGCCTGGTGGGCAACCCACCCTGAGGAGCTGGCTGACGTGCACCATGGGACCGTGATTGTCTTTTGTGAGGGTGAACAGAGAGCCCCACGGAGCTGCTCATGTTTGGTGAGGGGCACCATGGCATCTCTGCCAGCAAGGCTCTTTCCTACACACGTTGCAGCGGCAGCTTTGGCCTGGCTCTGCTTCCCACTGCCCGGCCCACCCCTGCCTCAGCACTTTATCCTGGCAATATTGTGCTGAAATAGTCAACTGGGGAATCTCATTCACCTGCTGGTACATGTCTCAGGCTATGGAGCCTAAGCAAGGGTTATCACCCTGTTGGATGGCGGCAGGTAGGAAGCCCAAGGTGGTCCTTCCTCATGGTCTTGCAAGGGGCCTGCAGCCCAACTATAGATGATTTTTTGCAAGTCCCTTTCAGATCGATGTGCCTCCTGGTTAAGTAGTAGCTGATGTGAAATACTGTGCTAAGGCAAGTTGAGCCTCTGATGGAAATGGGCCCTCTGGACTGACAATGTCCCACGTGGGCCTTCAGGAGGAAAGTGCTGCCACAGCAAGGGCTCTCTACCTCCCTCAAATAACGCAAAGGCCAAAAGCCACTTCCCTGCAGAGAAGGGGTCAAAGTAACTATCAGGAGAAATGGTGACGGACGTTGTTGTGCAGGGAGGGAAGGATCCTCTCCAGCTATCAGCAGGCCATGGGGACCAGGAAGAGTTTTGGTGTGGGGGCCTTCCAGGAGCTGATTTGATGAAGTCCATTACAGGCAGATTTTAGATAGATTGTGCAACTTGAATGCATCTTATGACATATTTCCAGTTGGAAAAGGAAAGTTTTAATGTCACTGTATGGGGGTATTAGTGAGGCTTAACCTAACCTGCTCCTTGCACAGCACTATTCACTTTGAGATCCATTAGTTCATACTCCAGACATGAAGAATGACTGGTGGCAGGAGGGAAGAAAGGAATTAGCTTACAAATGAAGACTTAAACAATAAATTTTGCTTAGTTGAGCAGCTGAAGGCTAGCATATCTGTTTGTAGGAAGCACAGAAGAGTAACTGTTGTCCCATAGAACATCAGATAGGGGATAAATAAAAACCACAGAGAAGAAGAGCTATTTAAGCAAAAGGGCCTAATTTTATAAAACAAAAGGATTTAAACTGGACATTAATAAATGTAGGAAATATTTAACTACCCAGCACTTCACACTCATAAACTTTACAATCAGACTGATGGGGGCAAAAACCTGAGTGCTTTCAGCCTAGAATGGGATCAGTTCTAAGAAGGGACAAAGCAACGTGACAAGCAGCAGTAGCAGAGTACTGGGTCAGATCCAGGATTTCCTTATAGTTTGATGTTCCTCAGTTCCTAAATAAGACAGGAAGCATATCAGGCAGTTTTGACTCCTCTTTTGCTTGGGATGAACCAAAATGCAATTCTGAAGGATCTCAAGGAGGACATGAAATCCATCGCAGTTGGAGTGGCCACAGTGGGATGACCAGGGTGCTGCACAGAGCCTGAGTTAGGGGAGAGGATGAAACGGAGGGATATTGCATCTTTGAGCTCTCCACCTATTGGTATTTGACCAAAGTGAAAAGGCAGGAGTGTTCTCTGTCCCCTCACTCGTCCATCAAAACGTAAATGCAAAACTTCCCAGGTGGAGACCCGCTGGTTCATTGGCACTGGAGGGTATGGAGAGGAGGCCAGCAGTGATCCCACAGCACAACTGTATCATTCCCCACCTGTCCAAAAGCTGTGCTTCTCCTCCCTCTGGTGCCGATTGCTGCAGCCACTGCCTTTCGTGCTGGCACAGGCTGCAGCTCCCTCCTGCAGCGCCCACAGCTGTGCCATGTGCTGGCTGAGCTGCAAATTACTCTTCTGAATTCAAGTCCCAACCAGTGTTTGTTAGGCTGCAAGGCCTCAGGTTCATAGTGGCTCACTTGTAAAGCACAGACACCCTGATTTTGCTTTAATGTTTCTCTGCCAGATTCAAGCTGCCTCTCCTCGGACGCACCTTCATGGGGCCTTGACACGGAGTCTGCCGGGAGGTCAGTACCGTGCTCCTCACCCGTGGGAGGAGAGGTGGTCCTGAAAATGCTGTCTTCCTACCAACTTTTCTGTGTTACTGTGGCTTGTGGGAGCTCTCCTTATTTTATGCCCTTCTAAAACCTCCTCTGTCTCATTTTCTCATTTTCTCCATGTTAAATCAGGGAAAATTCCTGTTAAAATTTTACTTTCAAAATAATGTCTTACAACCAAATCTGAACAACTAGCTAAGTCAATCTTTCAAATTTTCATTAAAAATAAAAAATTAGTTCCATGCAATTTTTCTTTTCTGCCACTTTTTCTGGTCTTGGCAGAGGGTGCATGTAAACATGTGACAGGTTATACAAAGGGATGGGGGTGCTCAGGCAATGAGCATGCAGCTGTTCCTGGAGGGCTTGAAACATTGTACAAAGATGTAAAGCAGGCCCAAGTTACAGAAGCTTTTTTTGTTGAAAAATTAATTGTATGCAACTGAACTTTGGTATCCTTCTTGAAAAATATGTATGCCTGGGTAGGTGCTTTCTGTTGGTTGGGGGTTTTTTTCCATATAAACGAATTAGTGTAACTTTAAAGCTCACAATTCTAACAACAGCAAAGAAGTTTTCCACATTAACGCTGCTGTGTAAGCAGTATTTTCTCCTTTGTCAGTATTTTCAGAGTATGTGTGTATATTGGGAAAGCAATTTTTAAGTGGAAAAAAAATAAAAACTAAGCGTGGAAGGGCTTTTTCACAGTGAAGGCTGATATTCTTAATAATTGGTAATTTCTGTGTGTGCATTACTGCAAAGGTCCCGTTTGATTCCTATTTTATATCACTAGCAACTTTACCATGGGTTCACTGAGAGCAGAAAGGCCTTTTTATTTCATTTACTTCCTCATTTCTGCCATGCTTTTTAAATAACCATCAACAAGATTGTAAGCATTTCTATCTAGGGTTTTAGTCTTTCCCTGAGAATGAAAGCAACTATCTGCATAACCTGATGAAATTTTCCTCTTAGACTATATTTCTTCTCCACTTTCAGGAAACTATAATTTAGACCCACCTTAGTGAGTGGTTAGTAGCTGCCAGTGAGGTCTTATCTTCCAAACATACTATAAGACCCTTTAATAAAACTGAGTTTGGAAACAATTACTAATTATAACATAAAACAAGCCATTCCCATGGAATCTTAAGTCTCTGACTCCAGTCACAGCTTCAGCAGAAATAACTTTTTAACTGATTTTTTTTCTAGCATGGGGAAGGTTATTTATAATTCTTTTTGACTCTGTAAATTATATATTCTGGCCTGTTCATAAGCTGAATGTACCCTTTGCTGTAATGCTTAGGAGGGAGGAGCTGAACATCTGTATACATTGAGCTGAATTTATTGAATCAGAATAATCTGTGTCCTGTGTATTTCAAGATCAGCAAGACTGGGACTTGCTTTCTTTACATGGGAACTTGACCTTTTGTTTGCTGGGAGGAGGTTGACCTTTTGCCCCTTTGTTAGTTTACAAGTCTCAAACCAAATGAGAGAAAACCTTGCTCCTTTTTTAACCAAGGAACACAAAGGATAAAATTAAGTAAATGTTAAAAACTGGACATTATTGTCAGTTAATTTTCTGAGCTAATACGGCATATGATTTAACAATAAACAGATTTAAAGTGGATCTTAGTCTGTTTGTGAAATACTTTATCTACTGAAAGGCTGCTGTGCTTCCTTACAGATTCATGTCCTCAGGATTGCCTTAATGGAGCAGCCTGCACAGAGGCAGGTGACTGTGACTGTCAGTTGTTTCAGGCTCAAGGAAGCAGGTGCCAAATTGGTAAGTTTTGGGCCAAAAGAGTCAAGTTTCAGCTTCAAGTGAGATTGAAGGTACAGGTTTTTAAGACAATAGTGTAAAAAGCCTATTTGTTGTTCCTCTGTAAAAGGGCTGTCATTCAACTGGTAGCTAAGAGGATTAAAATGGTGTTAGGGGTACATATAGAGCAACATGAGGAATACCCACATTTTAGCACTTGGGCTTTAATGATACACAGATGCCATAACAGATAGAGCACTGTCTAGTACGTCGGTAGCTAGCCAGCTTTTTTATTGTCACTGCATTTTTCTAATAAAATTCCTGCAAATAAAATTATAAAATATTTCAGTGCATTAGTTTCTGGACTCTACTGCATGTAGGGAACAATAAGAACTGTCTTCCAGGATCTGGAGAAGATCTAAATCCCTTACCTCTACTTAAAATTAACACATCTCCACTGAAGAAAATAAAAAATCTTACTATGATCACTCATGAACAAAACTGCAACATAAGGATTGAAAAAAATATATTTACTTTATTTAAAGTTGAATAAATGAGGTTTTCTTTTGTCCTTGCTATGTATTTCCTTTTTAAGCTCTTATTTTCTTTCTGACACCCATCAATTTTTGATTACTGTGCTTATTGTAAGCTGTGTGTGTTCTCTCCAGTACCTAACACTGGTAAGGACAGAGACGGGATTTGCAAATCATGGGGACAGTATCACTTTGAAACATTTGATGGCATCTACTACTACTTCCCAGGAAATTGCTCTTATATTTTTGCAAAAGACTGCAATACTCCAGAACCCCAGTACACTGTTTGGGTAAGTATTTCAGCATACAGTAGAAATAACACACAGAGTATTCCTGTATTACAGGACTTAGTTTTCAACGTAAGTGAAATAAGTAGAGAGAAGATAAATACATCAAACCATTGCATTGCTTACTTAAATATAAAATTATAATGCTGGAAAATGTCTAAGCCTATGTGAAGTGACTCAAAATACTGATGAAATGATAATAGAGTCAGTATATTAAAAATAGCAATTCTTACTCCCTCTATCCTAAAAAGGATCTCTGATCTCCCTTTTCTGGGAGCAGAAGTGGGTCTTAAAGCAGACCTTGAAAATGTCAGCTGTCAGATTGTAAAAACACTTGTGTTGCTGAGTAAAATGCAAACAGCTATCAGCAGCCTGATAGCTGGGCACCCAGGTGTCCTGGGTGCTGATCCACAGCCATCACTACTCTATGGGGAGCTGCCTCCCTGGCCCATGGAAAATTTTCCCCTCTGGGGATTTGTCTTCTAATTTTGGATTGCCTCTACGTCATGTGGAGAAGATGAACAGCTCATAAGCCTTTATCTTGACCTATGTATGGAAGGAAGTATTTTTAGTAATTTCTTCAAATTGCTGAGTATCCATGGATAATGACTATGGTTCAGGGAGAGTTCAAACCTATACACTCTTTGAAGGAAGATGCTCTGTTTATTGGGCTGTTGGTTACTGTGGGGAGAGGATACAATGTCATTATGTTATTTTTTACACAATAGTTGGGATTTGGTGCTGATTGGGCAGGGGAGAGAGGACAAGATGGATCCTAATTTGGAACCTTAGTGGTCACAGAGCTCAGAGGGGCAAAGGCAGACACAGATGCTTATTTCTGCTCCAAGGGCCAGTTTTCATTTATAAACACCTCCTTTCTATCCAGACAATAGCATCTGGTGAAGATAAATCTGCCATTAAATTGCCATTTCTGTTCACTCAGGATGCAGACAGATACTGTCACACCTACCTTCCATGATTTAGCTTTAATTCTTTGGATTTTGTGTGCAGCTATCATATTTTTTGAGTTTTCAGAAAATGCTGTAGCAAAGCACAAGACTATATTAAAACCTAGAATAGCTGTTTCAGTGTATTCCAGTTAATTTCCAGTGGATTTCAATGGATTTCTGGTGGAAGGAGAGAAACTACCATTTGATTGCTGGAACAAATGTGTTTTGCTAAACACTGAAATTGTTTACTCAGAAAAGGCACAATTAGTGTTGAAGAACTGCAGTTATTATACGGTGTGCAATGGTGAGCCAAGAACCTCATCGAATCCACACATTATGGTCTTTCTGGCTTTAATAATCCACCTCTCTAGAGGAGAAGAAAACAAAAGACTTATTTTGATTTTCCTTTATTATGTTTCTGAATTGGACTAGGTTTACATAAAAACCATCTGTCAAGACTAGTAATATTAACATTGTCTTTAATTATGATTATCTTTATACATGTGAAAACTCCAATGCTTTTCCTGGTTTGGTTTATTTCACTCTAAGAAACAGTAATTAGTTTTTACTTTCAGGATTAAGTATCTGTTTAGAAGTCCAGTTAGAATATGTGTTAGCATTGTGTGTGTTTACCAACAGATCTTTTCTACAAAGATGATAGCTCTAGTTACTTTTACAGCCTCCACTACCAACCTGGCAAAATGTTTCTCAATGACTAATCTATTTAGTTTCTCAGCATTGTCAAGTAAACTGGTAATGCAACTCCCATCCTTCTCAGAGAATGGTGGCACATAAAATCATAGGAGTAATATTTGAGCTATCTAAACTCTATTTATATTTTAATTTATGTAATGGTAGGTATCTAAGATTCACAACACATTCCGCTGTCTCCTCAGCGGTGTCTGAAGTCAGCTCCTATACTACTGAAGGATGGTAGTGTAGGACATCTCACTGAGATCAATGAAATTGAAGTTTTTCTCAAGCCCTTGGAGTAGGTATGTGCTTAAAACTGTGACTATGTGAGTGTAATTCAAAACTGTGTAGTAGTTAATTGGTTGGAGTCTATGCATGGAAAGTTGGAGACCTACACCTGTATAATAAATCTGAGTAAATCTGAACTCACAGTTTTCAACTCCTGAGAGCATGCCCTGGCCAATTAAAGCTGTGTGGTCTATGGGAACAAGGACCTTCCTAGAGGATTCATGCTCTGCCATGGCAAAGGTTGGGAATACAAAAGGAAATCTGACTTTGGGGGTAGCCTCCTTTTTGCCGAACCATAGGAATGCTGGCTTATCAGGCCTGTTCCAAACTTTGATTACACATTTTTTAAATGTGAGATCTACTTCACTGCCATAAAACTCTAGACATGCTGAGACAGGAGTTGCACAGTTTTAATTTCTGGAAGCCTGCATCTGAGATCTGTTTAACACCTCTCTCTAGTAGTGGGCAGCTATGGAAGTCACACAGTACTGATACCTGAGATGCATTTTTGCAGATCTTTCTCTGACTGACTGAAACTTGTATTTCCATTATTGTACTAAAACTAGAAAAGCTGATAGGTGACTCAAACCAATACCCTGGCTCACTGTGCTCACTCTGAAGTCTCAGCAAATCCTGGGTGCATCAGGAAGGCAAGGTGGTAGTTCAGACAATGCCAGTTTCAGTTCTCATGGAGAACTGTGGTATTATCCTGAGGTTTTGTATTGGGTTGCAGTCCCTCTTACAGATCAGACCTCTAGGAACAGAAAAATAGGGGTGTCTCCTCAGTGCAAGTAATGAGTTCCTCTATTGGCAGTTATAAGCTAGCTCACTACAGCGTCTCTGAAGTTAATCTATATAAAATAACAGACTATTTAATCCAGTATTTACATCGCTATCTTGTGATGCTCTGTGCTAGTAAACAGTCACTGTATTTCTCAGTAGTATTAGACAGTTTGAATTTCTAGTTTTGCATGTCTTTGTAATTGTGACTTTTTAATATGCATTTGTAAAGCTCTTTCAGCATTTGGTGCATAGAAATGTAAATTATCATATATGAGTTTATGAAAAATTGAATGAAATTATTGAAACAAAACATTTATTCTTATTATGTGTATATTTTTCCACTCTTAGGTTCATAATAGTCCTTACTGTTATGGTTCAGTATATACTTGTCAGAGGTCTGTCAGCTTATTTTTTTCAAACCAAGAAGAAATAATTATTTCAGGACATGAAGTAAGAAAAGCTGGAATCAGGTGAGTGTTCTAATGGTGTGTTTTAACATTTTATTGCAAAAAATATAGTTTGGAGTTTGGGCACATAATGTTTTTTAAAGTAGCCAGAGAAAATAATTTTATATATATCTATATTTATTCCTTGCTGTTCTGTATTGGAGTTAATAGAGCTCTAGTGTGAGCAGATGTAGTGGTGCTGATGTAATGCCTGACATCATTTTCTTCTAGACAAGCCTGAATGGGTTGAATCAAAGATATTAAGTCCTCTTTGCCCCTTTTGGGCAAAAACCCCACAAAACATCTCTGAGGTACATCAACCCCTCAGATTTACCAGTTTTGTTTTTTTGTTTGTTTGTTGTTTTTTCTTTTTAAATAAGTAAAACAATAAATGCAAGGCTATCATAAGTGTGTTGTACTGGTTTATGAAGTATAGTAGATTTCAAGGAGTTGTTAAGGTGTTCTTGCCATCCCCTTTGATGTAATGCTCTAGCCATTAGCATCTGAGACTAATAGCTACAGAAATTCTTTTCCTCTCAGCAGAAGTAACTTTGGAAGATTAGAATTATATCTGTGCTGCAATCTCGCTGTCCAGTGGTCTTTGGCCAAAGGAGGAGGATATGCAGTGTTTTAGTCAATAGTATTATTTTTACTGTAAGTTCCTCCATTTGCAGATGTTTAAGCCAGTGAAGACCCTGTGCCCAGAAGGACCACTGGTGGTCATAGTGTCACAAAACTCCCTGCACAATGCAGCATGCTTATGAAGTCACATATTCCTCCTCAACATGCCCATGCTGGGTTTTGAAAATGAAGATTCATTATGCTTTCAGGCTTATAATTGGTACAACTATTGGTACAACTGATGGGTGTATGCAGCAGAAAAGCCTTCCTTTTTGATGGTCTATATAGGGAATTAAACAGCAGAAAAGGTAGTAAAAGCATGACTAAGAATTGAATGGAAATGTCTATATAGACCTGGGGAAAAGTGGTTAGTGAGTTAGGAGGTGATGTTTTGTGTGGTATTTTTCTAGCACTAACCTCATCTCATGTGGGATCTTTGAAGCAGGCTGTTTGTTTTTCCAGATTAATGTTGCCTCAGACAGTTGGAAATGCTTTCTTTGAGAGACTGGCTGACTATGTTCTGGTGAAGACTACCTTTGGTTTTTCTCTTGCTTGGGATGGCAACTCTGGTATTTATATTAAGCTGACAGAAGATCATAAGAGGAAACCTTGTGGCCTCTGTGGAAATTTTAATGGCAATAAACACGATGACCTAATACTGCAAAATAGTAAGTAAACAGCTTAGAAATACATCCTTGTGTGAACAACTTCCATGTTCACTTTCAGTATAGTAATCTAAAAAGGCAGAGTCCTGTTGCAGTTATTTCAGTTGAAAATAGAATATCTGTTCTGCTCCTCCTGATCATTAAGGATGCTAAGGGAAAAAGTCCTAGTTCAAGAAAACATTTCTATGTAGGTTCAGGCTTTTTCTTGCTCTGCAAAGTACTTGAGGTATGTTTATCTTAGCTGATGAAAGTGCATTCAAATGATCAATAATTAAACAAATGCTTGTAGTTTTCCCTATGTTTAAAGATGGAGGGAGAAGAAGAAAAGAATTAATATTTGGAAAAAGCACCATCTCGAGTAATTTGATTATATAAGCATCATAACAATGTGAGTTGAAATATGTACATTTCAAAGCTGTTGCCAGAGACTTCCTTGTCTCTCTTGCTTGGTGTGATCCACTGTGGGCCTCCAACTATGTTGTAGGATGAGGAACTGCCCGATGCTGCGTCTGAGGCAGAGACAACTTGCTAAGCTGGTATAATATTCTGTGGTCTATGCGGTCTATAGGGGTTTATGTCCAATGTACAATTAATGTGAAAAAATCCCCAAAGAACAAGCTTGAGACTAAGAGGAATATTTTTCTTAGTCAGTGATAAAAACAAAGATAGGACTGTTTTATCATTAATTGCTGAGAGAATCTGGTCCCATGGCCCTGCATAGTCTTAAGGCACAGAAGTTACCTCACTCCAACTTTTTTTCCTCTGTTTTTTTCCCCATTTTTTATGGTTGATATCAGAACTTTTTGACTTTAAGTGAAGGAAAATGCAGTATACCTATATTTGTATAGTCTTAAAAAAATTTGCTTAATATAAATTTCTCATGACTCTTCTCCCATGAGAGCAGTAAGTTTCCTGTTTCATGCATTAAGTTCTTCACACCAGAGTATAGTATGTTTAATAACTTGTTAAAGCTGATTATCTGCAATAACGGAGAAAAATAGAGTTTGGAGGAGATAGTGAATTCACACAATCCCTGAAAAATGGTAATTTGAGTATATTTAGTGTTAAAAAGCACTTACAGCTCTTAGCTTTGTTTATTTCTAGAGCTACATTTCTTCACTATCATGATTTCTTCTGGCATTTTTCTTTATCAGAGATGATGGTATTATTGTAATATAGAATTGAGAGCACTATGAATCATTTGAACCTTGAACCAGTTGTGTAACATGGTGCCTTGACTCTGTAGCATGATACTCTGATATTTTCACAAGAATGGACTGCTAATTCAAATTACTTCTAAGTTGTAACATATTTCTAAGTGTTTCCAAATCTTATAAATAATTTGGGAGGGTGCTTTATCTCCCCCAATTCAACTACTTCCTCCTAGTAGTGTAAGAGAAGATTTTACATCTGTCCTGAGTCCTCCAGAGTGTGGATGCTCTCTATTTGTAATGCCCCAATTAAAAAAGTTGCTGGGAGGCATGTTACAGTCCATTTCAAAGCACAGTTTAAAAACAAACTCCTTTGTCTTTTTATATTCATCTTTAACATTTTTTGGTATTGATTTAATATACAAAGCTGTATCTGTGAATATAACTGTTTCAAGGAGAGTGATTTTATTTTGTGGCTTTTTTTTTAGGACTTAGAAAATTTTTTTAAAGAAATGTAAAAATGTAAAAAAGTGTTTAAAATGTTGGGTTTTTTTCAGAAGCAGAATTATCACTCAACAGATTTCCCTCTAGATCAAAACCCGGGTTTTTTGTTTGAGAAGGTTTTTCAGCATAAAGAACTATTCCATCAGAGAGGGAGAAGTGTTTTACGTCTCCCTGGCTCTTAAGTAAAATAGACTGGTGGTTAGGATCTTATCTTTGTTTATTTGTGGAGATCCAAGTACAAATAACTGATTACTGTGCTTTGGGACCTTTCACATTGCAGCATGTCGAACTTTGTACGTCTTGTGCTAGAGTAAGTTAGATTAAGTTTTGGATAGTACAGCTCTGTGAAAAAAAACATCACCAATTTGATTTTGATAACCATAACTTTAAGGTTCTTCAAGGTAAAGGCAATATAACCCTTTTAAACATATGTAATAATATAGAGAAAATGTAATATTCTTGCTTCAAAAATATGTAAATTTGGGGTCTGTTTCTTTACTACCAGCTTTCTTGTATGCTCATGTATCCTTCTCAGCCTGTTGCCATGACTTCCAGCCATGCATCTTGTTCATTAATTCTCCCATGCTCCTGCTGTGAGGAGAGCTGGCATGTAGTTGTGTGTTCGTGGTGTTTCTGCTGCAAGGGAAAAGGAGGGAGATAATAGTTCTAACTACCTTTGTGAAACATGGTAAAAACCTTAAATTGTTCTAAAGTAATGTGTTTTTTCTCCAGTATTGAATGCATTATGCTTCTCCTTGTCTGTATATTTATCATAAAATTGTCAGTGCTTGCCCTTAAAATCCTACCACCAACACCTCATATATATACTTCATGTTTCCATTTAAATGTAGTATAAAGTACTACCTTAAATTAAAAAAGAAAAAATAACATTTTTCTACTCTGAACATAATGGTAACTGAGGTAACAAACACACTGAGAAGCTGTCTTTTGTGTTGACTTCCACAACTCCCCTTTTCATGTAGTAGATGAATATACAGAAGATATTGCTGCATTTGCAAATAGCTGGTCTGTGCAAACCTCAGATGACACAGCTTGTGTACCTACTGCCTCAGATTTTTCCAGTCCTTGTTCAGCTGATGCAGAATCCACTGAGGTAAGTTAATCATGTTATTCACACACACACACGTGCGCGCACACACACACATTCTATCTTCACTGTCTATTGATAGTACAAGATTCTAGCGATAACCACTTAGTGGAAAAAAGCCTTAAATGCATTGAGGCTTTGAGAAAGGGAATTCAGATCCAGACTATGGCTAGAGAATTTCTGGAGATCTCCAGATATTTAGCTTAAAAGTACAAAGGCTCAGATAGGATGTGCCAGGTTGCACAGGTCTGCTGGCAGAGTTCTTTGTTGCTGCATTGAACTTGGATTTCATTTCCAGTATTGGCAATTATTTGGGAAACTGTGAAATACTGCAGAAGTAACACGCTCAGCTCCTGCATTGACACAAAATGTGTTTTTATTTTCCTCCACTTTTTCACACAAAATGTTTAGCAGCAGCATGGTATCAAGCCAGCCTAGGCACAGGACAATTTTTAGGAAGAATAATAAAGGAGACTTAATAATAAATTGAGACTGTGAGAGTCTCAAATTTTAATGGGGATACAAAGGACACTAGGTCAGGGAAGCAAATCTAAAAAGAACTATGGTTGTTCAGAATGTATTTCCTAACTGTCATTTACTGATTCTCTTCAATCTGCAGGACATATTCTTCAAGTGCCAAATACTCCTACAGTTTCCTTTCCTCAGCTGTCATGAAAGCATAGATCCATATTCTTACATTTCTAGCTGTATGAATGATCTTTGCAGGTAAGACTGGGGTTTTTGTGCATGTATTTTTGAAGCATGCAATGAATGCTCTAGTCTTTCATTTGAGATGAGAACTGAGCAGCTTTAAGGGAAGTTAGGAGGAGCCAAGTTCAAAGCAAAAGAGTTGGGGTTTCTAAGTGGGCAATTTAGTGGGGAAACAAAGGGCACAGAACCAGTGTAACAAGGGATATTTTGATTGCTAAAGGTTTTAATGAATTCAAAGAGAAAAAACCCACAACAAAAGAGGACCTGCTAATCTCAAAAAACCTGAAACCTGTATCTGAAGGTTCTGAACCAAAAATACATGGAGATTATACTAGGGGGAAATACCAATGATGCTGGAGGCGCTGGATCATTTGTCTGACGCAGCTGGACTCTTTTTATGAGCACCCATTATGGTTCAAATTAGTAGAATTATTCAAAACTTTTGATTTTGTAAATTCAGAGTTGTCAAAAGAAATTAAACTCTCTCATTGGTTTTAGTGGAAATTGCACCCCATCGCTCCTGGCATTATATGCAACCTAGTATTTTCCCCTTACCTTTCCAGACTCCTGTTTAATTCTTGTCATTCAAGTTAAACTGGTTCTCCAGAGTATAATTGAAGAGATGACTGAGCAGTGTAGCACTTCCTTTTTAGCAGTGTTTTAAAATTAAGAAGTGATTGTCACAAATAGCAAGATTTTTCACCAGATACTGTGATGGCCTTCTCAGAATATCATCAGTTTAATCAAAAACTTGCAGAAAGAATCACAAGACTAGAAGTAAGAATCACTCAGTGTAATATATTGCAACTTGTTAGTTATTTTTTTATTATTTTTTTTTAGTTTTTTGCTGTATCATAAAGTCAAGATGGAAGAATTGTGTTTGTAGGCAAATTTCCAAAGTGTGCTTCCTGAAGTTTACTATCTAGACATTGATTTCACTCAGATATGTGATGAGTTGTCTCTGAATGGTCTCTTTGTAACTCAGGAGTTTATTGCGACTTCTTCTTAGCAAAAGAAGAATAACAAAAAGCAATTTTTAAACTGTGATATTGAACCAGTGTCATGGTATTAAGGCAGATTTGATATTTTGTCAACATGCATGTGTGTTGATGTGAATTGTGTGAATGTTAAAAAACCTGAACTAAGTTTCTGTGTCTCAGAACCTCATTAATTTAGGCTTATTTTGTTTATAAAAGAGACCTCTCTTCTTGTAGCTTAGTGTCAATTTATGAAGTTTTTTGAGGGGCCATAGTATATGCCAAGCATTCTTTTTATTAAGACCCATTTAATTAGGTTAGATAAGGAGAGCTAGAGAGACTCTAATCACTGTAATAAAGAGTATAGTGGTGTTTGATTTGATAACAGATGTGTTGAAAGCAAAATACAAACACAATGTAATATATTACTAAGACCATTAATTTTGGAAGCATGATCTTGTATGCTGAAAGACAAACTCAGCTGCTCTGTCACAGTCATGCTTAAAATAGAAATGTTGTGTTATGGCTAGTTCATTTTGGCATTGAGTCCTCATTGAGTGATGGGAGTTGTTGGATTTTCCCAGTAGCACAAGGTTGGTGCTATCTTACCTTATGTGACTTACATCAGAATAAAATATGAGCTTACCTAAACACTGATGAATGCCTCTTTGCTTATTGTTGGCAAAAGTGCACTGTAGTGCTTCTTCTATATAGACTAAGGCAGATATATTGTCTTTGCTCAAGGTCACACTGTAAATCCATGAGCCTGTCTACAGTATGTAGTGGATAATGCTTCTGGGCGCCAAGCACTTCAGCAAAATGTCAGGAGTCCACCAACAGGACTCTTCTCACTTAAGTTCAAGGCCTGGCAGGCAATTGGAAATGACCTTGCTACTTGGGCCAGAATCTCTTTTATTAGTCTAGGTCAGGGTTTCCATGCCATGCAGGAGGGAAAGGGCCTGAGATTTGAATCTTGAGAACGTTGAGCTGCCCATTGTATTCAAAACAAAGCCATGTTTCTTTTTCACCATAAGCAGCATTTATCTTTTTTTTGGTAATAAATTAGTGGTTTTGTTCATTGTGGTAATTAGAATGAAATAGCTTTTTGTGAGATCGAAGTATAAAACCAGAACACATTCAGTACAGCTTGTTTTCCCAGTATTTTCATTGTGTGCTGTTCTGACTGAGTGGTGTCAGCTAGGTGTGAAGTATCTAGTGCAATGTCATGTGGCAGAGATTTGTAGATGGGATTTGAGTTCCTTATTACTCTCTTGTTTTATCATTTCAGAGTGGATGATGATGACACATACTGCAGGGCAGTGACAGAGTACGCCAGGGCATGCTCTCATGCTGGGTCCCCAGTGAGGGATTGGAGGGATGACTTTCCTGCTTGTAGTAAGACTCTTTAATAAAGCATACTGTGTGACCTTTGAGATACCTCATGTATTCATTTCAAATAATTCCATCTTGACAATGTTTGTCACTGTAAGACTCAAACATGACACTGGGGTAGAACAGTCAGCTTCACTTTTGCTGGTGAACAATAAAAAAAAACAACTTGCTAGAGGAATATTTAGTTCTGATCTAGATGTGATCTAGATCCATAGAAAATTCATGTTTCTGTAGATTAATTGAAACATTGTGTGTGCTGATCATATTCTAGGACAAAGAATGACCATCTATGGAGACTGGATGCTGCCCTGCTTCCTAGATGACCTTTCTGCATCTATTTGCTCTATAACAGAATTAACACAGTTCATCCAGCTCTTTCTAGTTATCACCACTACCCATAAATTGCAGTTCAGTCTCATGCACAAGACTTTGAACTAGCTGACATATATGTTGTTCAATGACAGAAGCTATAATTTATTTTGGAGGGATGCTGTAAGAATTTTATGAACAAAGACTGAAACCCTGATGAGAGATTCACCTCAGTTCATCAGTTAAAGCCTCTCCAAAAAATCTGTGGTACCTGATCAGAATAATTACCTGTACCAGAAGTGCTGCATGACTGTTAATTTGAGAGAGAGGTGTTCTCCAGTATGGAAAGAAAAATCGCACTGATGTTCAATATACCATGTGGTTTTTTTCTAGCTGACAAGTGTGAAGACAGCTTTGTACACCGTGACTGTATCAGCTGTTGTCCACCAACCTGCACATTTGAAAAAGACTGTCTTGGCAGCAACCTGCACTGCTTAGATGGCTGTTACTGTCCAGATGGTAAATACTGTCAATTTTATGTGAAAAAAATATATGTAGAGCTAATATGCACCATGATATTGAAGTTGTCCAAATAGACTGTGCCTGAAAATTTAATTTATTAACTTTAACTTATTTAACTTAACTTATTTAACTTATGAACTTAACTTATTTATTAAATTTAACTTAAAAAGTTAATCTATTAAATTCCCTCCCAACAGGTCTCATTATGGAAAATGGAACTTGTATCTCTGTGTCAAACTGTCCTTGTATTTATCATGGAACTGCTTTCCCTGTAGGCTCAAAAATTGAACAAGAATGTAGCAACTGGTATGTGAAAGCCTCACATCTCTCTGTGACTGCTGCCTATACTTAGTTTAACATTATACACACACTAACATTTTAAAGAATAATTTATATCTATGTTCTACAGTCTGGGCCCTGTGTATCACTAAAATACGCAGGCCGTTCTATAGAAAGGCTGAATTGAAAACATATTAATTAGCTCAAAACTGCTCTTTTTGATAAAGATCAGAACACTGAATTTCTGTGCTTTGTGATTTTTCCTTTTAGTATTTGTACTGGTGGCATTTGGAACTGCACAGATCATGATTGCCCAGGTATCTGTATTTCACTATTCTTTTCTCCCCTCAATGAGCATAATGGATAACCTTTTCCAAAGACAACAGACCCAGATATGACTCAAGCTCTTCAGATGCTATTTTAAGAAGAAAGGTTAAGCAGATGGATGTTGAGAGTAGGAGTGGGTCAGCTGAGGTGAAGCTGTTAAGTGCCTCATCATACTTATCTTACCTTTTCCCATTTGCTTCCTTAGCTCAGTGAGTTACATCTACCTCTTGTTTTCTAACTTTTTTATGCTCTGTGTTCTTTGGAGTGGGCAGCTTATTTCTACTGCCTGTGCAGTACCTAGGCCATGTATAACGATCTCCTCTCTTATAGGTGAAATTGTATTACAAATAATAAGAAAAGCATCATTCTGATTCTCAGTGTGCTGTATTTTCTCTATTGTAAGAGCAGTTCATGTTGGATAATGATTCTTATCTTTAGAGATTACATGTGTCTGTAATAAGTTACTCAGAGGAACATGCAGTAGTCAGGTAGTGAAACCCCCTTGACAGTTCTGCATCTTAGACAAGATTATACTGTGGAATTGGTTAGAGAGCATTTTTTATAAATTAAGGAATGAGGTTCAGACTTACAAAGCAAGACTTGCCAGAGTGGATCTGTAGTGTAAAACAGTTGACACAGAGAACCACTCCATCTATCCTGTGTGCATTTTGTGTGCACATGACAATCTGATTGCTCTAGTCTGGTTCTAGGGACTAACAGCCTGTTAGTAATGGGGAGCAAGTTAGATGTGTTCCCACAGAACACCTCCTGCAGTAGTTGCAGCCAAAATGGATCTAGTTCATGTGCTCTGACACTTTCCCATGGTGTGAATGAAAGTGCAGTACATGAGGATGTTCTGGAGACTCACTGCAACAGTGCACATCTAATGTGAACTGAAAAATGATATAGTTGCACCCTGAGGACAGACACCTGCAGCCTGTTCATACCTGTGGTAACAAGCAATGTCATAGTTCCTAGGAGGAAGGAGAAGGAAGCTTGTCCTATTTCACACTCAGTTGTGCAAGAAAGATTACAAGAAAAAGATTTTAGGAAACTTCAAGACTGAAAAGAGAAAGCTCTTTTGTGGTTCAGATAACTTGTGATTCAAAGTTATCTCATCTTATTAGAACCAAAAGGTGTCTGCAACATGAGATGGTATCTGATGGAAATAGGTGTATATAACATTAATTTGTCTCTGAATGCCATGGTACCTAGATAAAGTTAGCCTGGATTATGTGCTCAGAAATAGGGAGAAAGTTTCTTATTTATCTCTCCCTTCCTTAATTTGTAGAGTAATGATACATTCTTATGCAAGTGATCATTCTTGTTTATCCCTTTTCTCTCAAGCTGAGTGCTCCATCACAGGTAGCTCTCATTTCACAACATTTGATGGACGTCATTTTACTTTTCTTGGGATTTGCCAGTACATTTTGGTAAAGGGCACTGGGAAAAACAAATTCACAATCACTTTACAAAAAGCACCTTGTGGACAGGTAAGTCACATTTTTGTTGAACATTCAAAACAAATGTGTCTATCCATATTTCAGGCAATCTTATACAGTTTCTACTGTAAACTACCAGGTGGTATTTAACAGAAAATATGTATTGAAAACATTTTACAGCTTTTTGTAAGTGGTTGTATTGCTACATGTTGTATTGCCTTTTGTAAAATCAATTCCATCTTTAGAACGATAAAGTCTAAAGGGTAATTAATTTATGCACACTAAACAAGTATATACACCTTTGGTTATAGTACAAACACGTCTTTAGAAAAGCTCTTGCTGGCAGCACTGAACAGGCTTAATACACTGAGAGTATTTTGTCAGGTATCCAACAACAAGCTTTACAAATAGAGGTGCTTATAAGAAGTACTTTTCTGCAAGACTGGATTTAATGATGTTACGAGTCACTTAGGCTCTCAGGAGAAGGGGCTCAGAGACTGTGACCCAGAGCTGTCCACGTGCTGAGGGCTGGGATGCCTGAACTCATCAGCATGGAGTGATGCACTAAAGCTGCTCTACTATGGGGATGTGTCTTATGTCCCTTCAAAAGCTAGACTATGAGCTGGTGCCTCTATTTTGTAAGCACCTCTTTTGCCTGCATAGGTGTTAGGACTCCTGCTTCTGCATTTCAGGTGGCCTCAAGCATGACATTGTTGGTTAGGTAGCCACTAAGAGACAAGGATGCTACTGGAAATGACCCTTAGCACAGCTCTAGGCATCTTGGACAGTTTCTGGGTGCAAACATACAGGCTCTGGGGACCAAAAGATGCTTGATTTAAGCTGTTTATGTGTCACCTTTTGTCCTGTTCTTAGGTTCATAGATTCTGCCTGGTTAGCACACAAAAATGAGGGGTGTTAGTTTATAAGTTATATAGTTTATATGTTTTATAGTCAGACATTTATGAATTATTGTAGTATAGTTCTGGAGAAACTATATCCTTTAGATCTAAAGTCAGAGATGATGACTACATTTCAAGGCGAGAAGCACCTTCATGTGTGCAATAGCTTTTTTCTCCTGCACTGCTGGATTTGGGCTGTGGTTGCATGAGCTTGATATAGAGAGTCTGACTCTTGCTCAAACACTGGTTTACCCAGCAATGAGGAGTACTCTGGATGTCCATGGAAGAATGGCCTTTTGAACCCAGTATCAGTACATGGGGATCTCTCTCCACTTACTACTAGACTGTTACAATAGCTAAAATGCATTTTCCTTTCTCTGATGTGCATATGTGATGTTTTATTTTGTTCTACATACAGTTTCAAGTATTCTGTTTAATGCTTTGAGTGGTAGTTAACAACTGATTTACCTGATGCCATAAATTATATTTCCTTTCTGTTTTTTCCTTCCTTTCTTCCTTTCTTCCTTTCTTCCTTTCTTCCTTTCTTCCTTTCTTCCTTTCTTCCTTTCTTCCTTTCTTCCTTTCTTCCTTTCTTCCTTTCTTCCTTTCTTCCTTTCTTCCTTTCTTCCTTTCTTCCTTTCTTCCTTTCTTCCTTTCTTCCTTTCTTCCTTTCTTCCTTTCTTCCTTTCTTCCTTTCTTCCTTTCTTCCTTTCTTCCTTTCTTCCTTTCTTCCTTTCTTCCTTTCTTCCTTTCTTCCTTTCTTCCTTTCTTCCTTTCTTCCTTTCTTCCTTTCTTCCTTTCTTCCTTTCTTCCTTTCTTCCTTTCTTCCTTTCTTCCTTTCTTCCTTTCTTCCTTTCTTCCTTTCTTCCTTTCTTCCTTTCTTCCTTTCTTCCTTTCTTCCTTTCTTCCTTTCTTCCTTTCTTCCTTTCTTCCTTTCTTCCTTTCTTCCTTTCTTCCTTTCTTCCTTTCTTCCTTTCTTCCTTTCTTCCTTTCTTCCTTTCTTCCTTTCTTCCTTTCTTCCTTTCTTCCTTTCTTCCTTTCTTCCTTTCTTCCTTTCTTCCTTTCTTCCTTTCTTCCTTTCTTCCTTTCTTCCTTTCTTCCTTTCTTCCTTTCTTCCTTTCTTCCTTTCTTCCTTTCTTCCTTTCTTCCTTTCTTCCTTTCTTCCTTTCTTCCTTTCTTCCTTTCTTCCTTTCTTCCTTTCTTCCTTTCTTCCTTTCTTCCTTTCTTCCTTTCTTCCTTTCTTCCTTTCTTCCTTTCTTCCTTTCTTCCTTTCTTCCTTTCTTCCTTTCTTCCTTTCTTCCTTTCTTCCTTTCTTCCTTTCTTCCTTTCTTCCTTTCTTCCTTTCTTCCTTTCTTCCTTTCTTCCTTTCTTCCTTTCTTCCTTTCTTCCTTTCTTCCTTTCTTCCTTTCTTCCTTTCTTCCTTTCTTCCTTTCTTTCCTTCCCTCCTTCCTTCCTTCCTTCCTTCCCTCCTTCCTTCCCTCCTTCCCTCCTTCTTTTTGTTATATTAACATCTTTTTGTAATATTAATGCCTGTTTCTAATGGTGAAACTTGTTTCTACTTAGAATTTTGACCATGCCTGCATTGAGTCTGTAACACTAGTTCTTGAAGATGATGTAAGCAAACAAGTAACTCTCACAAGATATGGTCAACTCCTAACTGACTCTAACCAAGTTTTTAACCTTCACGGTAAGAAGTGCATAGAGTAGAAATTTAACAGGCTTAACATTATTTCTTTTGTATGCTCCAAAGCTTTCTAATAATATATAAGAAAATAATTTATTTAAACTTGACTTAGGAAGTGTAGAATTACTTACTTCTTATAACCTTCATATTCTAGAACTTCACATTTTCAGTCTGTGGAATAGAATCCTTCATTTTACTTTCATTTCTTTGCATTTCTTATCTTCTAGAATACCTAGAAAATCCACTGATTTTATTTGTATTTAGGGGAGAGGAGGTACAAAAAAAAGAAGGAAAGTGAAGAGAGGTTGGAAATAATCTTGATGCTGATGTTAAGCTCTAGACTGATTAAACTTTTTTTGGGATAAATGGCATGGAATACAATCCATGTTCTCTGCAGGATCTAGCTTGCTTTCAGTGCTGACTTATGGTGTGATTTCAGGTGGGTTACTTCACCTTCTCTGAAAAGGATAGAAAAGTAAGTCAGTCTTAAAAGACTGTCATAAAATTAAGCACTGAAGGTAGAAATGATCTTGCTAAGTTTCTGATGGTGATCAGTGGTAATTTCTTACTGGATTTTTAGTCTCCTGAAAAAGTAAAGTGAGAGTTCCACTTTCCGTTCCCAGTCTCTGGCTAAAAAAAGAGTTTAGGGAGTTCAGTGCTAGTGGTTGCAGTTATGTCTTTTCATCATTGAATTTATCCAGTGACAGTTCTGCTTTTGGCATTCCCAATTTCCTATGGCAATGAGTTTCATAGGTCAGTTATACTTCAATTCTGCTTCATAATTTCATGGATAATTATAATTTCATGTCTTTTGAATCAGCCTCTATTTACTTTCTTATCTCTTTCCGTAGCGTGCAACAAACATTATCTATGACAAGTATTTTGGCGTGACATTCCTGATAGTTGGGTGCATCTAGTTAGTCTTATGAGCGAAGAACCTCTTTAAGCTCACAGAAACATCTTATCTGCCTCTTCTCAGTTCATGCAGCTAAGTGTGTGTGTGTGTGTGTACGTGCAGAGGCTGCTTGTGAAGGTAGATCTGCTTTAAGCCTAGAGATGCAAGTAGCCCAACAATGTGTAGCAAATGAATGCTGTGACTGTGAAATTTCCTTTTCCTCACAGAATGGATTTGCTGGGAAGGAAAGCTGGGAATTTGATAGTTCACAAAAAGTCTAAGGAAGGAGCTATACTGATGTCATATCTTCTATTTAAAGATTGCAAGGGGCTTTACAGACATCTGTTAATTAATCCTGTAACATCCTTGGAGACTAAGAAACAAGTGGTTTCTTGTCTTCTCATTGCCAGAGGCATGCTGTTGCATTGCTTTCTTCTAAAAAAAACCACAATGAAATGCAAGAGTGGTTTCTGGATAGCTCCCAGGTACAGAAAGGCGAGAGATTTTTTTTTACTGCCGATAGTAGTTGCCATTCTCGATTCATGTTGCTAATTAAAAAGATACGTAATCTCAGTAGCTCAGGTGGAGAATAGGTGAGGTTATTTGGCTGCAAGTGAGATTGTGGAGTTTCTCTTTAAGTTTTCAGAATCTATTTTGTTTAAGGGGTAGACCAATACAACCTGAAAGTTAGATTTCAATGACTTTGTTTTCCTTTTACTTTTTCTATGTGCAGGGGCTATTGAAATTCAGAATATATCTTCTTTGTTTGTTCAACTGAAAACTAGTTTTGGCTTGAAGATACTGTTTGCTAAAGATGGAGAGAGGATCTATGTTCAAGTTGATGTTGGCTGGAAGAGAAGAACATTAGGACTATGTGGAACATACAATGGGAATTTAAGAGATGATTTTCTGTAAGTTGTATAGGCTGTGTTTCATAACAAGTGAAAAGTTTTTTTTAAATATAATAAGCCAATTTCATTAACATGCTTATACTGTAGTAAACTAATCTTTATAAAATCTCTTAATTGAGAAGTTATTAAGTTTTTAAAATATGAAACCCATAAATTTAGCTAAGTTATTCTAAGATGTTTAGCTAAGTAATTCTAGAAAGGTACCATATCATTTATAGAAGTTATTGGATGATGATACTGCTTGAATGCTTTTTTTTTTCCTCCCTGCTGCTCCCTTATAATCAGAGTAGATACATGAGCACTGACCGAAAGAATGGATTATAATATTCATGTCATCCTCACCTGATTAACCCTTACTATTGCTTGATTTTTTTTTTCCCATATCAAGTTAGAAAAGTAAGTCTGAACCACAGGAATAGTTTAATTAGAAGGACACATTTTCCTTACTTTTGTATATCATTTGCTCCAAAGTTCTTCAAGCTATAATATCACAAATGCTTTCTAGTAACAATAAATGCTTTTGAAACACTTGAGGGAAAAAAAGCACCAAAATGCAAGCAGCCCCTCTCTAGAGCATGGAAATCAGATAACAGGCCAAATTTTTTACATTTCACTGACTGTATGTACTGGAATAAAGGCCAGATTCTCCTCCCGTTAAGGACTTCTCCAACTGAGTTCAGAGTACTTGAATTAAGTGTAAGTGAGGGCAAACACTGAGTATAAGAATGTTTTTGCATGAGTAAAATATTGAAGAATAAGCTTCACATGCTTTCCTTTTGTAGCTCACAAAAGGGAATTCTGTTGACACACTGAATGTTTAATGTGACTATGCATCTAAGGCTTTTTGATGAGCTTGTGTCCTCACCCATGTAGTCCATAAGGTCAGCAGGATGCTTGCAGTGTTGGTATTATCTTTTTCAGTTCTCCAGCAGGGATGATAGAAGGGACCCCACAACTTCATGCCAATGCATGGAAGGTTTCCTCAGCTTGTTCTGTGCCTATCAATATTCCTGTGGTTGATCCCTGCAATGTTAATCAGCAAAATGGTAGGTTTTCACATGGCAGTCTGGAATTAGTTGTATCATACTATTATGAGATATTATGTGTTTTCTCTGTGAAAGAGTTGCATGTATTTGTAGTTCAGCTTCAATTTTAAATATACACACTTTTCCTCATTTTTCTTTTTTTGGCAAAGACCATTCTTTCCACACAGCTTGTAAAAATATAGTAAATCCTTCCTAAATACAAACTATTTGGTTATTTAATGCTGGGTGTACTGGCCCTGAGTCCTAAATTCTCCTGCCTCATATACATGCAGAGTGTTAGGCAGAACACCATCTGTAGTCCTGTAAATTATACCAGTCAAGAGGAAGGATGTGATGCACATTTGTAGATTGACAAAGAAACTACAGGAGACAGAGTCTTGCTGAGACAGAGTTGAGATCAAAAGTCTTGTCTCTGGCTTCTCTGTGCTTGTTGCGTTAGAATTTTCCTTATCCTTCATCTATGTGCTCTGACACAAACAACAAGAGATCTGTGGATTTGTCCAAATTCCTGAGTAAAGATTCAGTTTTGACTGGTTGATGTTCTATGTTTTGCGTTGAACTTTCACTGTCTCCTCATTTCCATGTTGCTGTTATTTTCAATTAGTGAAGACAATGGTCAGACAATAGTTGCCAATTCTGACAGAATTTAGTCTAATGTTTTTCATGTTTCAGATGTAAGGCCTCACTAAGGATATGGGATTTGGCCATATATAGAGCCTGTGGGAGCAAGCCTTAAAATAACCATAAACCTTTAAGAATGTGGGGCATTCTAAGATTTTTTATGTCTTCAGCATTGGCTGTCTTGAAAGCCAGGTCATCTTAGAAAGGTTAGCTCTCTCCAAGACACTTCATGCCTTACTTTCAGTTCTGTACTTCATCAGTGGTAGTGGATTTTGACATAAATGTACGAACATGACTATATGACCTTCTGAGGTCCCTTCCTGTATGAATTTTCCTGTAATACTGTAATATCATCACTGGAAAAAGCAGTCCCAGAGTAAGTGGTCCTGCTTCATCTTACCACCTGTGCTAAGCCAGTGCAAGCATTTTTCCAAGTCTATGCTTATGTTAATCTGATGAAACTGAAAAAGAAATTATTGTTTGTTTACTTATTTTGTGAGGTTACTTTTCAACCAAGTGAAATTCACTCCTTGAGTCTAGTTTACTGAAGGATTCCAGAAATCCTTGTGTATCTGGGAATGAACAGGAAGACGCAGGGTAGGGACAGTCTTTAAGCTGCAAAATTTGCTTAAACATGATCCACACTACGGTGTTCCTCAGATATTCTACCATTTGTGGTGGTAGCATGTTTTAGAGGTAGGAGGATCTCTTGGTATTAGAAGGTATATGGCCAGCTTGGGACTTTCATGCCCTTGAGCTCTAGTTTGTAATGCTTTCTGAGTCTGCATGCCAAGAAGGATATGGTCATTGTGATTTCAAAGCTAAATGAAACATTAAGTAGGAAAAAACATATTCCAAGCTTTGGAGGATTCTTCTAACTCTTTTGAAATACATTTTTCTGTTAGTGAAGTTTCCTGCACTACTATAGGAAGGCAGAACTGGTTTTATATATTTTATTTATTTTTATCTTAAGTGGAGTTTGTTGTTGAGGGAATTGCTTACAATATCAGTTTTTAAAGTATAGAACTTTGCAGAAAGACATTCTGTACACGTTTTTGTTGCACAACTGTCTATGTTTGGTTTTAATATTCTGTGCTACTCATTTGACTGTCATATTAAAATGAATCTGGCTAAAACAATGTCACCTTCTCTTAGCTGGGTATGCATCTCACTGTGATATCATCAACCAAGAGGTTTTTGCTCCCTGCCATGCCTACATCAGTCCAGGGTTATACTACCAGCTTTGCCGCTTTGACGCGTGCAAGTGCGGAAGCAGCTGCTTGTGCAACGCTCTGGCGCACTACGCTTACGTCTGTGGCAAGCACGGTGTTGTTGTTGACTTCAGATCTCATATTCCTTACTGTGGTGAGTAACGTTTGCACAACAGAGTGTCTTTTAGACATGTGAAATTCTGCAAATATCATTTGCTCCACAAAATACAGGGATTGACTTTTTTTTGCTGAAAGCTAGAACTGGGCCATGGGCTAATGACCCACTCAGGAGAGAACACCACTAGCATTTATGTTAAGCTTCTGAGTTAGGGATGCTGAGCTGCCTCTCAGAGGGTGCCTGTCCCTTTCTGTTGGCTACAGAGATAATTTAAATTACTGACTTTGAATCCCTAAGTCGTATGAAAGCCCTTGGTAGCCTAAAGCAGTCAGGGAGTGGCAGAAGCAGGGCTGTTCCCTAAGGAAAGGCAAGACAGGGTGGCAGGAGTTTCCCAGGGTTGGCAGGACAGGGTGGACAGTTTGCTAAGTAGCACTGTAACGAGGCATTACTAAATCATGGAATAATGCCTCAATCTTAACTGGACCATTCGTCCTCTCTTGGAAGCCTGAGTTACTAGATAGACAAACCCACCACATACACATACACTTAATATATATAAAGAATAGACACCTACTGCTTATAAAGTAGGCAATTCTAGCCGAGGAATTGTCTAATATACACTCACCTGAATCTAAAACTTCTAACTTAAGAAATCAGTAAAAGAGCATATTTTTCTCATGCATTTTAACTCACCCCAGTGCAGCAAGAGACCTTTTTACTTCGCTGTCTTGCACTCCCATGATATACTGCTTTGTTTTCTATTTTTCACATTTTAAAAGTATGTTGTTCTCCTTTCTCTCTCCCTCTCTCTCCTCCAGCTGTGATGTGTCACAGTGGTATGCTTTATCATCAGTGCTCTTCTTTTTGTAAACACTCCTGTGCTTCACTTTCTATGGCAAATATCTGTGGTGATGACTGTGCAGAAGGATGTAATTGTCCTGATGGGAAATATTTTGAAGAGTCGGTCAACTTTTGTGTATCAATGTAAGTCATAAGAAAATAGAATATATGCATAGGGACATTTCCCTCTTTCCAGCAAGACTTAAGTGTTGGTTGTTTAGGGTTTTTTTTTGCTGTTTCCCTCAATATGTAGACTGACTAAACAGGACAGCAAGCAATATGTGAAGATTTAGTATTTTTTTGTACTAACCGATAGTGTGTATAGCCATCTACTTGTCTTCAGAGAAGATATATCACACTGCTTTAGAGAAGGGTGATTAAACTTTTTTAATCAATGGGAAAGCATTTTCATGTGAAAACCTTCTTTTTAACACTTCAGAACAAATGAGAAGAAATCTACACAGTAGCAATCCATAAATTCACGGATAGTATGGAAAGAGTGGCCAGGAGTGTCTTTTTTTCCATATTGCAATGCAAATCCCTTCAGTTAAATGAAAGGAAATGGTCAATGAAAGGAAATAGGTTTTCTACATTGTGGACCAAAATTTTACAGCTTGCCATCATGGGGAGCTACTGAGTTCAGGTACTGAATTAAAAACTGGAAGGAGTATTTGTATACATTTCAAGATTTTGCAGGGTTCTTGCTGTTCATTGCTACTTATATTCTGGAAACTGTAAAGCTCATACTGTAGAGATAAAGACTGTTTCAAATTATTACAGAGGTAACAACATTCCCACAGTTTTGCATGGTTTCTAGGGAATTCTGTTGCTACTTCTCTCATCTGGCTCTTACCACAGACAGAATTAATGGATTTTGCTCTGATAATTCCTCTATCCCATGATTTTGACAGTGCTTTGAGTGGGAATTACATGTTGCCATTCTACTCCCACAGCTAGGAAGAAAAGCTCCTTTCTATAAGACTAGTGCATAGAAACAACAAATAAATAATATGTAGTCTGAAGAAAATCCTGGCTTTGTGGAAGACGGTAGGAGTTTTGCCACGGACTTCAGTAGAGCCAGTGTGTCAACCTTACATTTTTGCCTATATTGTAAATATAAAGATTGAGTTAATGAATTATCAGCCCTGCTTATCATAATAGCTTGGTAAACAGATTGTCCTTAAATTCCATTTCATCTTGCTTTTGTATCTCTATGCATAAATATGCTTTTAACAGATCTGCCTGTCATTGTCATTACAAGGGCAAAGCCCTCCAGCCTGGAGAAATCCTCTCTACGCCAACAGGCACCTGGTAAGTTTGAGTGCCAAGAGTTTAATCTTTTACCTGTCATAATTTGGGTGTTACACATGAGCCTTGAGATTTTTTTTCTCATAGGATGAAGATTCATTGTATCAAGATTTTACTTCTGTTACACACTTAGTAAAAAGGAGCCTAATATAAATTGGATTATACACCTGCTTGTTTTAGCATCAGGATATCTGGAGAATTCTGTAAGCCAAGGACCAAAGAGCATCTCAAAGCACACACACAGAGCTTGTAGTCCTGTCCTTAGACCTGGGGGCATTATGATAGCAATAGGAGGCTGGTTTCAGAAGAATAAACAATGTGATTTTATTTTGGAAAGTTTTTCAAAGGAAGGCTTGCAGGGAGATATATTTTTGTTATTTTATATTATTATTAATTCATGATGGAATCCTGACCTCACTGAAACAAGTGGGGAAATCTGCAAGGTTTCGAAGTAAAACTTGTCCATTTTACAAGAAATTGTCTCAAACTGCCGATATAAAATCACATCTTTGACTTGAGTGTCAAGATTGATTCTTTCTGAGGTCTTATATATTATTATTGTTGTAACTGAAGCTTGCTAATCATGTAGTTCAAGAGGTGCAAGGAGGGACTCAATTTTTCTGCATTTGTTATGCCTCTGCAATTCTTTGTTTTTTCACTTTTTTAAATGAAAAAATTAAGACTAGGTTTATTGTTGAATGTATTTTTTGGTAGTTTTGTATTTTATCATAAAAAGCACCCAGCTAGGTATCCTAACGTCTGTGCAACAGGAAATGTGCATACTGTATCCTTCCATATTCACCAAGGTGGATAAGGCACTGTGTTACACTGCCAGTATCCTGAATCACCTGGCCCTGCTTCCCACAGAGGCTGATGTACCCAGCTCCTTTTTTATTTCAGTGAAAGTTAGGCAGTTAAGTAGTACATAAACACTTCTGTGAGTTTGGGCCCTCATTATAGGACAGCAGTTAGAAAACACCAACAAAGTGTTGGTCAGGACTCATGTTTTTGGATTTTAATCCTTCTGCTCCTAATATGTGTTGTTTTAATTGGGTTAAGTTGTATTATCTTTTTTAACATGGTGGCTACAAATCATTTTCTCCTTGAATAAAGATGGATTTGCTTTTCTTTTCCAGTCAATGCTTGAATGGAACAGTGAAATGTATTGAAAGCACTACAGAAAATACAGGTAATTTACTGTCTTGTCTCATATTACAACTGCACAGAGAAAGTTTCTGACATTGAATAGTCATTTGGTTTTCTCCTCACTTGTATTTCCATTATGAGTTACTTAACATCATGACATATTTAAAACAGGAGGTTAGGAGCACAAGATACTTTGGGGTTTTTTTTTGTTGTTGTTTTTCCTTTTTCTGTAGCACACATTGTACTAAGTCACTTGAGAAATTAAAATAATAAATAATTACATGTGAAATGTAAGTCAATATGATCTCATGGGAATACACACAATTAGGTTCACTGTCCATGTTTAGGAACCCTTAAGATTTTATTTTTAGAAAGTAAATTTTTAATGAATTCCTAATAATTTTATAAGAGATTTCAATACGCTGAAAATTATGCCACTTCTACAGAATCTGCCTACTGAAGGCATAATTACTCCATCTTTAACAATGGGCAGAGTATCAGATCTGGGGTGCAGAGATCCAGATGCTTAATATTAAGTTTTGGACTTTGTTGTTTTTACATTAAAGCATATTAATTCAATGTCTCTGTACTACAAATGCCATTTTAGGCTTTTATTCAGATTGTATTCTTATGTGTACTGTAATGTAGAATAACTGTGCATTAAAATAGATTGTGAACAAACCAGAAAACTTACACTGTAACAGAGCAGTTCTCTCATTTAACCTGCATTCTGCATTCGAAGTTCACATATGCCCTGAAGGAAAAATCTACTATGACTGCAGATCTCCTGTGCCTGGATTACCAGCAGCAGGTGTAAATTGTGGGATCTCTTGTGCAAACCTTGCCATGAACTTCTCCTGTGTCCCTTCACCACCCTGTGCAAGCGGCTGCATTTGCCCTCTGGGGTAAGCTTTGGCAGAACAACCTGGAGCACAAGCCATATACATATTTTCACAGTTTAACTCTGCATTTTTAAAAAATTATTGTTATTATTATTATTTAAATTCCGGTGGTATCACAGTTCTAATTTTGAAGCCTATTGTTCTATAAATTTTTGCAGATATACAGTCACAGTTAAAAGCTGCCAACTCTTTTCTTTGTCTCAAAGAGCCCTGTTCTCCTTCCTGATGCTGTGAGGCTTCCTGCTATAATGCTTCCTCAGTTGGAGTTCCAAAATTTCTCCATCCTGAGACCATGATTCCACTATCCCATGAGATACCCAGCTTGCTACCAGTACCAGTCTGATTGGCTGGTATTTGGGACTCTCTGGACAGGAGATGACTCCCACCACTTCTGTACAGTGTAGTTTATTTGGGTGTAGAGGCAAACATGATAAAAAAATGTTAAGTAAACCTGTGTTCCTGCTTTACTGCCCAAGTAATTGTCTTACTTAGATTTCTACTCAGGCTTACAGGATTGTTGCCCAACCTGGGTTGGGGCTTCAGGGGTGCGGGCTGGATCCTGCCCTCTTCCCCTTCATTCTCTATGCTCTTCTGAACTCAAGCAGTTTTTGTCTGCTGGACTTTGCAGGGGTCAACTTAAAATACAAAATCTAGAAGTATTTGTTGCAAAGTTTCTGTCAGGATCCACCACCACTCCCTCCATCTGTTTCTGTTCTCTCCCCTGACACCTGCTGTGTGTGCTTTCAGATTTGAGGAGTCAAATATGCTGTGCAATATTGCTGTAATTTGACTTCAGGTGGTGTGGGAAATTGTTTTCTTCCTCACATAGCCCCCCAATATTGGCTTGCAACAGGTGGAGTGCTCCCTGGTTTTACTTAACATCTGGTTTTGTTTCACTGTATGTGTAGCCAATGGTCCTCTGACAGTATGTGGGTTGTGCACAGACCAGAGTGTAGAAACTGCCAGAATTCCTGTTCTAGAAACTTGTGATGTTCATAGATGACTAATCACGGGTGAAGGACAGATTTCAGGCATAGCTATTTAAGATATCACTAGTTCTTTCCTGGTATTCTGTAGTCCTCTACAACCTTTGCCCCAGCTGAGAGGTTAGTTTCTGACTATTTGTGTTGTAGGAACACACAATTACTTTTGACACAAAAACGTAACATCCACCACCACCCTTTCTGAACTGTGTTTCTTTTGTCCTGCTAACCCTACAACAGCTCAGTATCCTGTGCTTGGAACAGGATGGCTACTGCTCTGCACAGGTGAGCAGGCACATCAATCCAGCTGCTTCCCTGGGAGAGGAGGACAAGGGAGCAGCAGAGGGAAGGGCATCCTGGCTGCAGCCTCGGCAGAGTGTGTAACACTCAGATGCTCTGCGGTTTGAAGGGAGGAGTATCTACAGCATCTGTTCTTTTGTGCACGAGCTGCTGCCCCACACCAACAGACCACTTTCAAGGCAGAAGGAGAACAGAGCTGTGAGCTTTGCTAGGTCATCATCTATGCAGGATGGAGATCATTTGGTCCAGACAGCTTTTGCTGCTGAAGTAATTAACCTTGTCTTGATGGAAGACTGGTTGGCAAGGCTTAGACAATACACTTCACATTCAGTTATGTTGATCTACTTGTAAATTTATGTTTCATCTTAATAATTATTTTATTTTGAAGGATGGCTGAGCATAGAGGGAAATGTTATATTCCTGACAGTTGCCCATGCACCTGGAAAGACAGGGAATTTCTTTCAGGAGAAGTGATAGCTACACCATGTTACACCTGGTGAGTGATACAAAATTTGCTTACTTCCAGATCATCTGGGTCTAACCACAAAGGGAAATCTATACAGAAAACATATTGAATACACTGCTTATTTATCGATAGTTACCAGTCTAGGTGAGAAGGAAGTAGGAGATACCCAAGTTCAAAAACAGTCAAGAAAAAATGCTTGATTCCACATGTATCAGTTAATCTCTGAAAGAAAAGACATTTGGCAGTTTAGAGAACAGAATATCATGATTGACAACCAAGAAGAAAACAGAAATTAAATGTATGACTGTGGTAAATAATTTTTGGGAACTGGACTGCTTGCAGTGTGAGTTATTACTCAGCTAAGCAACTGTATAGGAAGAAGATAAGCAATAAAAAACAGAAATAAAAAAGCATTAGAACTGGAAAAAAACTAGTGCTTCTTAAGGAGCCTTACCTGACTCCTATTGATGCAAAAGTTTTTCATCCATTATAAGTTGCTAGACAAAATATCTGTCTTTAGTTAAGTATATATTTAATAATTAAAAAAAGGTTGGCATGGCAGTTTTTAATCAGTTAAAAACATCATTGGCAAATCAACTGCTCTTACAGACTTACACAAGCAAAATCCAAGGCTGTCAGTATTACTTTCATACAAATTTTGGTAAGTAACTGAATGTAGCTGACAGGAAAAGTAACCTTGCAAATTATAAGCATTTATTTCTCAAACTCATGCTGTACACTCTGATGCCCTGACACCTTACAGGTAGCAACCAGAGGTCTTTTGCATTTGATACTTGCAGTTTACATCTCAGAAAATGTATCATTTCTTAAGAATTATAATATTGATGTTTAATGAATAAGTGTGTTGGAGCACAGTGTCTTATCTACTAGAGGCAGTGATGGAAATATTTGCATAAGCCACAAGAGTTTTAAGATTTTACATTAAGTTTTTATAATTTTTTATTGTACTTCTGTGCTGATGGCAAAATGCTCAGCACTTCTCTGCTATGGCATCACCAATAATGTCAGAAGCAATCCACAGAATAACTTGGTGTTTCAAGGTATTTGGCTGTTCTTCCTTCCATGAATTTCTGTGTGACTTGCAATAAAGAGACCAATATTTTTTTTTTCTTGAAAGTAAAATGAAAGTGACCCTGTTGTGAGAAGATACTGATTGTTAATTTTCTTTACAGTGTTTGTCGGAGAGGGATATTCAATTGCACCAGTTACCCCTGTCCTGCTGTGTGCACTATTTATGGAGATCGACATTATTATACCTTTGATGGACTGGAGTATGATTATGTCAGTGATTGCCAAGCTTACCTGCTGAAGGTAGGAGACTTTTCATGCATTTCCACGTGTCCTAGGGAAAGTTCCTGAGAGGGCAAATATTTTGAACACTGGGAGATGATCCATAGAAACAAGCATTAAGAAAACTGGTGCAGAACAGATATGTCTGAAAGGAAGAATCTGCAAATGACATTTTGTGCTCAGTCATTTGAAAATGTACATGGGTGTGTCCTGTACCTACGTGATCTAGAGAAAAATATAAACCAGTTTTCTCTCCTAACTTAACCACGCTGTTGTCACACTGTGCAAAGGAGAACACTACAGAAACTCTTCCAGAACTAGGTATAATCTATAGATGTATTTAATAATTCTCCTGAAACTCAGCTTGACAGAGGGTTAATAAGGACCTCTGAGGCTACTTGGAATCCCTTCTGAATGTGATCTTCATCAGATCTGGAGTGTATGTGTATAATAATATCAAACACAATCGTTTCATAATTCAACAATAAAATCCTTCTTTGACATTGTCTGGCAGCTAGATGTTAATGTTCCCCATAGCACACAATTACAGTACATTGCTAGCCTTTTTTGTTTAAAAATACCATTACTGACATTTAGAAATGTATTTTATTACTAACAACACTATTGTTTATTATCATTGTTGCTATTATTAAGGCTAAGAGCCTGTCTTCTGAGTTGCAGTAATGTTTTTAGAAGTATATTCATTTTCTGTCAACTCTAACTGTCTATCCCTAAGAAAAAGTGTGGTTTCTCAACAAGAACTACTGAAAATTGTTTAATTTTTATGTTTTAGTACAGTATTCACAGCTGTGTTTAATTGCAGATTTATTTATTTTTTTAATTTTTAAAAAGAGTGAGGCTTGATAAAGATAGCAAGAGTACCTCGTAGCAAACCCCTGGTGGTGTGAGGATTGAGGTGAAATATGCTAAGGGTAAGGAATAAGTCTGAAGAGCTGAAACACAGACAGACCACCAAAAGGTTCAGAAGATCTTATAGCAGAAAAAACCTGCATGATAAAATGGAGGATGAAATTCAATGATATAATATGCAAATAAGTGAACAGAAAAAATAACTGTAACTATGCTACCATGAAGACAGACACTAAATTAGCTACTAGTATGCAGGAAAAGGAACTAAACAAAGGTGTTTGAGAAGTGTGATAAGGGAAATTATAACTGCAATAAATTTGTTGGCATGCTAGTCCTTCCCAGACACAGAACTAAGTCCAAGAATTGTAATCTGAATCCCATGTCCCCAGTGGCATGATAATGCACTGTTCCCATCCACGTTAGCAGCCCTCACTGTTTGACTTGGCTGTTAGCCTCCCTTAATGTGATCTGTTTGAACAGCTCATTAACTTGTCACTGCATTGCACTGTACCAAACAAAGAAGTCATCCTTACCTTTTACTACATTTTTAATAAGGAGCTCTGTGCTCTTATGGGAGAAAAATCAACTATCAACTTTCAGCCAATTATGAAATCTCAAACTTGGTTTTCAACATCAGTATCAGCTGTTGGGTCTTATTGTTTAAGGTGACAGTAGGTGTATGAAAAGTCCTTTATAACTAGTTCAACCGATATACCATTAGTCAGAAAGTGACCAAAAAGTTTTAATGCAACAATTAAGAAAATTAGGGCAGTAATGTCTCCTAAAGTGAAAACTTGGTCTTTTTCAAAAAATTAGGTGATACATTACACATTGAGAAGTAAAGTCCCTGTATGGAAAAATGACATTCACAGAGAAGACACCAGAATTTTTTTCTAACATTTTGAAACCTCAGTAATTTCAAATGAAAACAAGAAAAATCTCATTTAAATGAGACAAACTTATTCAAGTTTTATTAGTGCAGATTAATAAACACTTAATTTAGCTAATGTGCATATTGATGAATTTAAGCCAAGCAATTTCTTAATTAAAAATATTTAAATAGCTTGCTTTCTTCCATTTCCTTGTGTATCTTCTGTCTTTGACAAAGCTACATTCTTTCC